AGAGATGGCAGCTTTTGTTTGAATGCAGCTTAGCAAAAATCCGCCATGCTCAAAATACCCGCCAGGAAAGGTAACAAAATGGAGTCTGGAAATAGTACCAGGAATACGGTTTTAAACTCTCAAAGTCCGTCCACATTGTAACATTAATTTAGAATGCAATAGCCAGTTTCCGAGCATGTTTTCATTTTACTTTCAGTGTCAATCATCAGATTTTCTGTGTGGATTCCTGAGCTCCATATTGAGGGAAACAAGAACAAAAATATCGTACTCCGAAAAAGCATGTCGTAAAAGGCGTGTAATTAGGAGGGTTTCTTTCGAAGTCCCAGTGTATCTGCCTGAGAGACGACGAACCAACAGTCTGATAACAAGCCAGATCCATAGAACGGATGTTCAGGCCACACTAAATTTTGAGACAAGAACAAAGTTCAGAAGTGGATGAACAACCAAAACTATCCGCCGGAGTTTACATCTGGTGAACGCAAAACATAAAAAAAAAAAACAATTAAAATCTAATATAGTGACCGAGTCCAATGATAACCTTTAGGGTGCCATGTTTCAGGTCTATTGGAACTAGTCTCTGATTCCTTTTCTGAAAACCACTGAAATATATCAGCCTGCACTGTGTGGCCAAGAGTTATCAGTTAGTCTGCTTGTGATCTTCAGCGGAGTTATCAGTTTTTCTGCTGTGATCTTTAACCGAGTTATCAGTTTGTCTGAATGTGATCTTTAACCGAGTTATCAGTTTGTCTGCTTGTGATTTTCAACTGAATTATCAGTAGTATGCTTGTGATCTTCAACCGAAATATCAGTTTGTCTGAATGTGATCTTTAACTGAGTTATCAGTTTGTCTGCTTGTGACCGTTAACCATCATCCGCATCCTCCTCCTCCCCGTACTCCTCCTCTTATTTTGCTGTTAAAACGTCATACAGAAGTGGCGTTTATTTCTCCATCCCGTTCAATCTTATGTCATTGTTTGACTTCCCGTCCGAGAAGAAAACCGCGCAGAGAAAGGCGCTAAAGAACGAAGTGGAAAGTATAAGAAGGACATGGGGTGACTTGCAAGCGATAGCAAAGCAACAGAAAAATGTTCACAGGAATAGTCAAGGAAAGCTAAGGCGGCCGGTGTGTTGTTGATCAGACCGAAGATCGAGTGCCGATTGGTGGATACAAATGAGAAATGTCCCACTTCTGTAAAAATTGTATGTAAATTACTTTACAAACATATGCGCGCTGTGACGAGCTGGTCTGGACAGCTGTTTCTGTCCTTTTAAAAAGTGCTTTGTTTAGATAATATTATTACCAAAGTTCTAAACATTTTCCTATTGCTTTTAATTAGCATAATAACACTGGATTAATTAAGAAATTTCCTTAACTTTTTCTTAATGCTTTACTGTAGCAAAATTATAATTAAAGAGTTGAAAGGTAATAAAGGCGAAGAGTAGTGCAAGGGGTAACAAAGAGTAACTTCCCCCTTGGTGGGACCTCCGATCTGCCATTTTTCATTCCAGGCTAGATTGGGGGAGTCAAGATTTTGTTCTCCCCAATCGACACAGTTCAGTTAGTTCTGTTGTCTTGTTGCCTGAGTTTGAATTCCCTGCCAGGGGTGAGTTAAAAGAATAAGTTTAATTTGATGTATTGCTGCTTATTCCTCTGAATTAATTCCACAGGTTAAATTCTGAAATTTAATGCCCACATGGCTCAAAAACTATGATAAATTTCTTTATCCTCACTAACCACATTTATGATCTAGTATGTACATGTATGCAAACATATTATCGATTTGATGATTGAATTAATGTTTATTTGCTACTAGAAACGTGCATTGGTATTTTTAATAATTATACTTATATTAATTAAGTGATAATTATGTCCTCATGTGAAATCTCAGCCAGTTCCTGTTTCCAGCTTAGACAATTAAAAATAGGAATGAAGTGTATATTCATTATACCTAATCCCTTCTAAGTTGATTTTACCTCATGGTGATATTAGCTTAATAAATCACTGTCTTGCTTTAAATTAGATTTAGTCCAGATAATTCTGAGAATGGTTTAAGAGCTTGAAAAGTGAATAACACAGTGAGGCTGAATTTAATATTCACACTGTCAGAGAAGAAGAGATGTATGGCCCATGCTTGTAATTATTATTGTTGCTAAACTCTGCTGAATAAGATTAGCACATGTGTGGATTTAGATTTAAACTGGAGTGAGTGTTGTATATTTTATGTTAATACTGTGACAGATGGAAAGCCCATTGTCATCTATGATTGTATTTTGACATCTATCTCATCACCCAGTATATTGATGGAGATATGTCAATCCCATTTGTTTTCAAACAGTGCAAAGCACCTGTTATGAGTTCCTGGTCTTGGTAAACTCACTCCCTGTTTCTCATTCATTGTGATGTGAACCCATGTGGTTAAAATGAGAATATTGTGAAATATGACTGTGTATGTCTGTGTGTGTAAGCATGTTAACCCTTTAAAGGAGTACTAGTGTGCAGACATCAGAACAATTTACACTGAGGAATGCCCTTTCTTTTTGTGTGCTGTAAACTCTTGTTCTTGAGAGTATTCATGAAACTGATGTTTCCTAAATATTTTCCCATCAGGATTATGAACCATGTTCTGTATACATTCCCATTCTATACCAGTAGAATGTGAACACCTGTTACTATCCTACTCCATATATATGTGTGTAGGGTAACAGTTTAAAGACTGGAGGTATTGTTGTCTCCAGTTAGAACCTTCCTGACTGTTTGTATAAGGACTGTTCTATTGTTCTAGTTCCAGATTGTATTCCAGATGGTACTTACAGGTGGGAGTCCAGAAGTAGATCCTAAGCTAAGCTGCAGATACCCGATTGTCCGGACTGGACTGGAAGATTCGGCCTGCCTGATGTGTTTCCGAAGCTTAGTCAGAAGCTGACAACAGAAACCTAAGCTACAGCTAAGTGGGAACATCTGTTGCTTTCCCAATCTATATTTTTATATCCACAGCCATTTTATTTAGTTATCATTTGAATTTATATTGATTTGAAAATCCTAATAAATGTTAGTTTAATGTTCCTACAGTTTTATGAAGTTTCATTTTAACTATAAACATTGTCAGTGAACTTAAGAACATTTAAATATACAATCTTAATTACAGCAGGGAATAAGATGTGGGCAAACCCCGAATCCTCTCATTTAACCAGCAAGGCTGGGGTTACTATAAGACTATATGATGACTCACTGTTTGTAATTCCCTCTGTAAAGTGCACATAGTGCATTCGCTAGTTAAAGCGAAGTTACCCGCCACACGCGCACACACATACTCACATCATACAAGCACACGCTCATACAAGCACACGCTCATACAAGCACACACGCATACAAGCACACGCGCGCGCGCACACACACACACACACACACACACACACACACACACCAGACAAACCGTCACAAAAACATACGAGACACACGCAAACATACAAACACGCACACATACAAACACGCACACATACACGCACACATACAAACACGCACACATACATGGCCTGTAATACATTTCGGGTAATTTTGTTCGATAAACTATGAAAATAACAACAACCATAAATATCAAGAATATTCAAAAATACCCCAGAATGAAAAGAAAAAGTGACGTCTCTGTTTAAGAACATGGGGGCACAATAGGCACATCCAAACTGTCTCAAAGACAAGGATTAGCCAATGAAAGCCCCAGACAAGCTGAACGTCACCTGGACAACACAAGCGGATTTTCAAATACAACATTTTCTGACAACATAGTTAACAGACAGAAACCAATCAACGGGTTTTCTTTATTGAGTCGAGTTTTTCCTATCCTGTTCTTAGCCCTCATAAATATTCGTTTGAAACTCTCTGCTTCTCTCTCTCTCTCTTTCCCTTGTTCTTTTTCTCTGAGTCTCTTTCTCATCTCTCTCGCCGTCTCCATCTCAATTTCTGTTGCCTGGTGTCGAGAAATCTCCGTCAAATCTTTGCAAACTAGAAGACAATCCCGATGTGCAAATCAAATCTTCCTGGCATGTGGCCACCTCATTTACTGCCGGTGATTGAGCTGATTGTGTTTCTGCAACATCCCACTGGATGTGTTGTTGAGATGATGATGTCCGAAAGACATTTCTTTACCAATTTGTGAAAGGTTTCTGGACCACGGCACAGTTACCAAGCTTACACCACACAATAACTAATGTCACACGGCACAGTTACCAAGCTTACACCACACAATAACTAATGTCACACGGCGCAGTTACCGAGCTTACACTGTAAAATTAGGCAACTACCAATTTTGTTATTTGAAACCTATTATCATTTTTAATTGCACACTTATATTAATATTTGATATTATTATTATTATGCTTTTACAGAAGTCTTTGGCTATTTGATCTTTCTCGCGTCAGAGTGCTCAAACACCTCCACCCTTTGTCCTTCCCCCTTCATGAGTCATCACCTTTATCTCATATTTTCTTTGTTTCCCCCCACCCCTTTTTCCACCCAATGGATAATTACAATGAACACATCAGTCGGACTTACAGACGTCAAGAAATGCCAGAACTCACATGACAGACCCACAACAGTCAGACTTACAGACGTCAAGAAATGCCAGAACTCGCATGACGTACTCACATCAGTCGGACTTATAGACGTCAAGAAATGCCAGAACTCACATGACAGACCCACAACAGTCGGATTTATAGACGTTAAGAAATGTCAGAACTCGCATGACGTACTCACATCAGTCGGACTTACAGACGTTAAGACATGCCAGAACTCACATGACGTACTCACATCAGTCGGACTTACAGACGTTAAGACATGCCAGAACTCACATGACATACCCACAACAGTCAGACTTACAGACGTCAAGAAATGCCAGAACTCGCATGACGTACTCACATCAGTCGGACTTATAGACGTCAAGAAATGCCAGAACTCACATGACAGACCCACAACAGTCGGATTTATAGACGTTAAGAAATGTCAGAACTCGCATGACGTACTCACATCAGTCGGACTTACAGACGTTAAGACATGCCAGAACTCACATGACGTACTCACATCAGTCGGACTTACAGACGTTAAGACATGCCAGAACTCACATGACATACTCACATCAGTCGGACTTACAGACGTTAAGACATGCCAGAACTCACATGACGTACTCACATCAGTCGGACTTACAGACGTTAAGACATGCCAGAACTCACATGACGTACTCACATCAGTCGGACTTACAGACGTTAAGACATGCCAGAACTCACATGACATACTCACATCAGTCGGACTTACAGACGTTAAGACATGCCAGAACTCACATGACGTACTCACATCAGTCGGACTGACAGACGTTAAGACATGCCAGAACTCACATGACGTACTCACATCAGTCGGACTTACAGACGTTAAGACATGCCAGAACTCACATGACGTACTCACATCAGTCGGACTTACAGACGTTAAGACATGCCAGAACTCACATGACATACTCACATCAGTCGGACTTACAGACGTTAAGACATGCCAGAACTCACATGACATACTCACATTGTAGTTATCACAAAGAAAGCAAGCAACAATAATCGGTGGCAGTGCAGAATAAGTGAGGAAACTAATCCTGGAAGGATTGCCACTAATGTTAATGTAGCTGTTACAATAAATCTACAAATGACGGTTACCAATCTCGAGGTGGTTATTAACAAAGAATCCAGGAATAATTTCCACCAGTCTTCAGTTGTAAATAGAGACCTGTAATCTCTTCACTAGCCGATGCTGGACCAAATTCTGTTGGACCAAATTCTGCGCTGACCCACAACAATGTCACAACTCTTGTTGTGTTTACAGGAGTCGGGGGTCAAGGCTGCTGATCTTGAACTTTCCCAGTTGTAAACGAGCTGTTGTGGTTCACACACAACTTGAGCAAATAATGAGTGTCTCCTCACTCAGGGAAATGTGTAAACAGGGAATTGTACAGAAATCAGCTCAGCGTAGAATCTCATTCCGTTTGGTTTGATGTCTACTTTAATTGCCGCAACACAGATGAGAGTAGTTGGTAATCAAATGGACAAACATATTGCAGTGGTCATCCAAAATGTTATCCTTGCCTTTGGTTTAGAAATTGTCATTAATGTAGCTGGGTCTCACGGCGAGGTCATTGTTCACAAGCTGACCAACTCTGGACAAAATTAATAAGAAGACTGGGCGGGGGTTGGGGGGGGGGTGACTGCGTGGTCTAGAGGCATGGTGTCCGCCTCGAGTGCTGTGGGTTCCGGGTTCAATTCCTGGTAAGGGCTAGAATGTTTTTAACGTGGACTTGAACTTCTAGTAATTCCCCCTAGTCTCTGGCTAGTGAGATCGGACGCCCGTGTGTATTGTTGCGCACGCAAAAATTCCGTTGGCATTGGAAATCGAAAACAGTAGCCTAATGGCGCTTTCAGTGCATAATTTGGAGTTGAAAATCTACCTAAAGTATTTCAGGATCCTCGCTGGTGCTACAGAACCTGTGCACTGTGCTGAGTTTCTTCGGACTTGAGTTAAAAGAAGAACGCAGCACTAATGGGTTACTACCCGTGTGCCATGATGTTGGTCCGGTGTTCAAATTTCAAAACTTCTAAGAAGACTGCTGCCAGTAAACTCTGGTGATGTTGACGTCAACACTTCTGTGATTTCTGAACATGTTCCACAGTCAATCCGATCGCATCCTTCCTTCAAGTACAGCCTGTAATCAATATTATCCTGATCCTTGAGCATATGTTGACACAGTTTTAGCGAGCTATGTGTCCCGTTTGAACAAGTACGCTACATAATTCTATGAAAGTATGTGACATCATTCTAGGGAAGGTATGTTACTACACCATTCAAAGAAGACACGTAACACCATTTTAGGAATGCATACTACACCATTCTAGGGAAAGTGTGTTAGACCATTCTAGGGAAGGTATGTTACACTATTCTAGGGAAGGTATGTTACACCATTCTAGGGAAGGTATGTTTCACCATTCTAGGGAAGGTATGTTACACCATTCTAGGGAAGGTGTGTTACACCATTCTAGGGAAGGTGTGTTACACCATTCTAGGGAAGGTATGTTACACCATTCTAGGTAAGGTATGTTAAACAATTCTAGGTAAGGTATGTTACACCATTCTAGGGAAGGTATGTTACACCATTCTAGGGAAGGTATGTTACACCATTCTAGGGAAGGTATGTTACAAAATTCTAGGGAAGGTGTGTTACACCATTCTAGGGAAGGTGTGATACACCATTGTAGGGAAGGTATGTTACACAATTAATGGAAGGTATGTTACACAATTAATGGAATGTATGTTACACCATTCTAGGAAGGTATGTTACACCATTCTAGGGAAGATGTGTTACACCATTCTAGGGAAGATATGTTACACCATTCTAGGGAAGGTATGTTACACCATTCTAGGGAAGGTGTGTTACACGATTCTAGGGAAGGTATGTTACACCATTCTAGGGAAGGTATGTTACACAATTCTAGGTAAGGTATGTTACACCATTCTAGGGAAGGTATGTTACACCATTATAGGGAAGGTATGTTACACCATTCTAGGGAAGGTATGTTACACAAATAATGGAAGGTATATTACACAATTAATGGAATGTATGTTACACCATTCTATGGAAGGTATGTTACGCCAACCTAGAGAAGGTATATTACTCCATTCTAGGGAAGGTATGTTACTCCTTTCTAGGGAAGGTATGTTACACCATTATAGGGAAGGTATGTTACACAACTCTAGGGACGGTATGTTACACCATTAATGGAAGGTATATTACACCATTCTATGAAAGGTATATTACACCCTTCTAGGTAAGGCATGTTACATCATTCTGGGAAGGCATGTTAACCATTCGATGCAGGTATGTTACACCATTTTATAAGGGTATGATTCACCATTCCTGGAACGTGCTACACAATTCTCTGGCGGTATTTTGCATCATTTTCGGAAGATATGCAAAGATGTACATTATGTAATTATGTCTTACACGATTCGGTGCTTAAATTTCAATTATTCTGCTACCACTGTTATCCCTCCCCTAGCCACTCCACTCTAACTTTGGTTTTCGTGGCTCGGCTTCCAGAAAAAGGCAACCACGTCATCAATCGGTGAAGATTGACAGTCTGCTCTCAAACGAGCAATCATCCGCGTAAACGGGAAATCTAGTGCCGATCGATACAGCGGCAATCAACATGTCATTGACCCCGGCAGTTCTGGATGGAGCGACTGGGGGATCAAATCGCTGCTGTGTTTACCTCAATACTCGGAGAAAGGGAATGTGATTTTCTGGTGCGGTGTGGTGAATGAATGTGTCCACTTGTACAGTTGTGCAAACTCAGATGTAGGTTTGTGACCAGCTCACAGCATCTTCTGATAGAAATCATAACAGGCTGTCACACACAGAGGCTTGTGACAACTACAGAACATTCCCCGTGTGGGTTCAGAGACACCAGGCGGGGGGTGGGAGGGGGGGGGGGGGGCGGAAGGACAGTAGACTCCCAGCCCCTAACAAGCATGTCGTAGCCTGTGACTAATTGGCATTTTTTCTTTCGAAGTCGGAGTCCATCTGTAAGGCGAGGAACCAACAGTCTGCATACATATCTGCAAGTTCTGGAACAAGAGCAAAGTCCAGAAGTGGACGAACAACCACAAATGTCTGCTAGAGTTTACAGCTAGTGAACGATAGGAAAGAGAGCCAGTGCACATGAAAGATCAGTATCCGCCATCTTGACATGATCAGATCACGTGATATGACACTCTACGGTCCACAAATATCGAAATTCTAAAACCATGGACACAAGAAGGAGGCTACAGGACATGTCCAGCGGTTATATCAGTAAGGTCAAGGACACTTTTGACGTCACTGGGGCATCAGACATATGATGCCAGACTAGCATTTGAATAGACCACTGACACCGACTGTCTTTGTTCTCCAGGACACTACATGGCACCAGGAATGCAAAAGGGCCTTGACTGAAATATGGCACCTCCTGAAGATTTGGAAGAGAGTCTTTTACATTTGCATGCCCCCCCCCCCCCCCCCTAAAAGCCTGGAAAAAGGCTCTTAACTTTTAAAGGATACCGATATTCGCCAGGGTCGCCCTGGGAAGGAAAATATATTTGAAAAATAATTTCAAGTCAATGTGGATACAAACGCAAGGCTTTCCAGCAGCCAGGCGAGCGTCTACTCACTACGCAGCAGTAATGGATATCTTCTTCTTAAAGAGCATGCTATGTGGCGTTGGTAGTCATGTCCATCCACAACCTTCTACCATATATTCAGTCAGCTCTTACACAGATGATCCCCCATGCCATGATGTCAAAGTGTCCGGCATTGCCTCTCTCTCGGTCTCTTCCTGCATCTCCTTCCCTCTATCGTTCCCATTTGCATGATGTTTTCCAGTTTTCTCCTTCACATGACATGACCAAAGAATAAACATGATCTGGGGATACGTGGTCTGGAGGCATGGCGTCCACCACGAATGCTGGAGATCCTGGGTTCAAGCCCTGGTGAAGGCTGAGATTTTGTTCACGTTCACTTCTAGTATTTTCCCTGGTATCTGGACTAGTAAGACCAGACGCCCATGTGTATTACTGCGCACGTAAAAATATCACTTGGCAGTTTGAAAGTATAGCCTAACGGGGCTGCCCGGTCAAAAATTTGAGTTATTAAAAAAATCTACCCAAAGTATTTCAGGATCCTCGCTGGTGCTACGGAGCTCGAGCACTGCGCCGAGAGATTCTGCTAACTCACCCTTGTCGCACGATGGTGATCCGCTGTATATACGAAACAAACAAACAATGTAGATGATCTTTTTCTGATGTGGGCAATCAGTTCTCTTCGAGAATTAGTTTCTTTCAAGACATCTTCATTACTTTTTCTATCTGTCCAGAGTTTTATCATTCGTCTTGCCCGGCTCTCTAGCGTAGTTGATTAAACCTTACATGGCGGTGAACGGGTGACGAACGCCTTGTGGTCTGGGTTCACTCCCGGGGGTAGGCAGAAAAGCCACATTTCTCCCAGATTTTCGGTATTTACAATGGAATCAAGGCTGAAAGGTTGCGACATCCATAATACCGAACCAAAGGGTTAAGAACTCATGGCTTCTGGATATTTAAAAAAAAAAAAATAATAAATCATTCGTCTATGAAACCGCTTCTCCCCAGATTTCATATAAGTTTTCACTAATCTACCAGTTGTCCATGATTCACTTCAGTGCATCAGGATAGGAATTGTGTAGCTTTCAAAAAGTCTCTTTCTGGTCTCAACTGACAAAGACAGATTGCATAGAATATTCTTCATTTTGTAAAATGTTGT